TCATAAGGAGAGTTACGACTATTTCATAATTTATATTTCTTACGGCTCATTAGAATCTTTCTTGACTACAGAATTCCATGAGGAAACCTAGAATCCTTACCATCCATAACCAATGAAAATGAAGAAAATCCAAGGCAAGATTCTAGTATTCATTACTGGAGTATGAATATTGAAAATTCCATTTCTTTCAAATGAGGTTGTTCTTCTAAACCAAGCCATTGTTACTGGAGTTCTTTCTTTGCTTATCAATCAACACATTTACATGTTATTGGAGTCCTCATTACTAGTCCTTCAATATTTGAAGGGATTTCGGGTTGTACTTCAAACTTTCCAACATTAGCAGCCAAGAAATCACTTTTCTCTTAAAATATCTATTAAATTTATACATTATTGTAATTCTCCAAATTCTGGGCCGACCTTATCGTACTTATTAGTAAAAAGAGGATCAAATTTACCAAAGGTCTTAGTCTCAGGTATGAAATTGCTCATTAATTTTATTAATCAAATAAATATTCTTTATTTTTTTAGATATGTTAATATTTGATAATTCAATATTAATCACTCTTCTCATTTCTAACTAATTATTTATATTAATACCAACTTAAAATAATTAGATTATGATTATGGCTAATTTCTTCTTATTTATAAAATATTTTAGGCATGTTACAGATAATAATATAATTATTTGATAATTATATTTGATTTTAATTTTATATAGTTAACAATGGTAAATATAATATAATGATGATGAAGTAAATATTAATAAATATTCTTATATTTAATTTAAATATTTATAATATAATGAAATTAGTAAGAAAAGAAAAGATATTTATTGAATAAAATAGAATTCAAATGAATTTTAAATAATTATATAAATCTACCATCTATATTATCATATTGTTCAAATTTATACAAAATATTGAATAAAAAAGATAGTTTTCTCCTTATTAAATTTGTTATTTTAATATGAGGGAAAGTTTCTCTTCAGGTTTATTATTATTAAGAGAGGATATTTCATCTGTTCTTTTTATGAATGATAATTGTTGAATATCATATTTTTAATATCTTATCAAGTTTATTTGATATAATATGTATATATTAAAAAATGAATTAAATATATATGATTATCTATTACTAACATTTTCAGTTGCACAATATTTGTCATTTACTTTTGGAGTAAAACTATGCTAATATTTTATTGATGATTAATTTACGAAGTTGTTAACGGAAATAGAGTAATCTGATATTTTAATTTTGTTGGATTCAGTTTGATAAAAAATTAATTTAAGTTTTTTTTAGAATTAACATTTTAGAATACCTTATTCCAAAAATTCAAACTTAAGAGTGATTGTTTAATTTTTAAGTATTGATATCCCCTTTTGCATTAATATGATATTTTATTAAGTTTTTGTATTAAATATCTGTTGATGAACATGACATAACTATTACTCATTGAATTTACTATAAGAAGTATAAATTGAATTATGATCCTATGAAAAATGTTTCACAAATTTAATAAATTTAAATGTATAATTCATTTATTTTCTTAATTAATTCACTATTATTAAATCTTATATAAGAATTTATTTTTATTATATTTTGTTTTTGCATACTTTTTGGATTTTGATGAAAAGAATGTGTATTTCATTAGCTGCTCATTCTGAATTAATTAGGAAATGATACTAATCTGTAGAAGGTCTTTTCATATTTGTAGATAACTTTATTGAGAAATGAGCTTGATAGATTAGGATCCTATTAAAAATAATATTCAGTTGAGGGATTTTATTAAATATAATTTATGTTGATTATCATAATTACTTATATAAAAAATTTCAAATGAATAACTCTTAATCGAACTATTTCTAAAATGATGATTACAGATTTTAAGAAGATGAGGATTATATTGATTTTGAAGAATTACCATAGAATGATATAATGAGATACGAAAATGATTATGAAAAGTATGAATTATTTTAAAGTGTTTGATAGTATAGACTTGGTTAACAATAAGGTTTTAATTGAAGAGGATATGAATTAGAGTGAGATTTAAAAGGTATCTTCAACACTTTGTATGAGGGAAGATGAATCAGATGAGTCAGAAGAGGAGTCTTAACTTTAGGGAACGTAAGTGAATATTATATCATATTATACAGTCAATCAAGAACATGTACTTCTGGGACTATGTAAAAATCAATAAGGAAGAGGAATAGGATTAAAGAAGAACCTGTAAGATATGAATGATTGATAGTTTATTGTAGAAGAGGAAGATTAAGAAGTGGAGTGAAGAAGAGGATAAGCATTTGGAAGATTTGTTTCAAATTTATAAGGGAGAATGGGAAACTATAGTTAAATTTTTGGAAGGAAGAACAGTTTCATAATGTAAATAGCACTGGCAGCGTTTGAGTGGGGGTTAAGACAAGAAGAGGAAGTGGACAGAGGAAGAGAACTAGATGATCTTGTCATTTACAAAGGATAACCCATAGTTTAATAATTGGGCTTTGATTGCTTAAAGTATGAGATGTTGATTAAAGAGAGGAATGCAGGGTAGGAATGGAAAGTAAATAAGAGAGCATTATATGAATCAGTTGCGTCCTGGGATTAAGAATAAGTAGAGTTGGAATGAGGAAGATGACAAGTTGTTGTTAAACTTATATCAGAAATATGGGAGTAAATGGTGTTAGATAAATAAACATTTTGAAGGGAGAACTGTATATTATAATTAATTAATGAAGGAAATAATGTTGAAGAATAGATTCAATAAATTATAAAAGGGTAACAATTACATTGACCACTTTCTCAATATCAATGATGAACCACAATAATAATAATAATCTCATACATTCTCTTTTAATTGATTATATATATTTATATTTAATAATTATTTATATAAATGGGATCAATTTGTTAATCACATTCTTGTTCTTATGAATATACAACTCAATTAAGTACTAGTGTATACTTTCTTAAACCAGTAATTGATCATCAAATAGAAGATGAAATAATGGAGGAATCTTTATCTCCTACAGATTTCGAAAAAGAATTTACTACTACTAAATCTATGGTACCTAAATCTCCAGATGTGATGTTAAAGTCACCTTAAAATTCACATACTCCTAATGATTCAGTTGTAATATCTAAATTTCATATAACATCTGATGATTTTGTGAAGTTTCGATATTAGAACTTTGCTGATTCTTATTAAATAGAAAGATCTATAGGTTCTGGAAGTTATGGAGAAGTTTTTATTGTTAGAAATAAGTAAACAAGTATATGAAAGGATAAATTAAATTTTAGATTAATTGAGAGCAATGAAATAGATAAAAAAATAATAAAGTTCTTTGAGTAATAAGTCTTTAAGAGAAATGGAGATTCTATCAAAATTAGATCATCCATTTATTGTTAAGGCAATAGAAGTATTCTAAGATGAATAGAGTTATAATATGATATTGGAGTAAATTTAAATCAAATTAAGTAGATTATTGTAAGGAACTGATTTACAGGAAGATATTTAGAATAATCATAATTTTAATGAAGAGAAGGCAGCTAAAATAGGTTATCAATTATTATTGGCATTAAGTTATATTCATAATTAGGATGTAGTTCATAGAGATATTAAACCAGAGAATATTCTATATCAATATAATAATGGTAACACTTTAATTAAACTTATTGATTTTGGTATTTCTACTGAAATCAAAAAGAATAGAAAATTGAGTTCTTAATTAGGATCAGTAAGAAAATCAAAATTTATTTAAGATGTATTTTATGGCCCCTGAGATTTTTAGCAAAGATTATGGTAAATAAATTGATATTTGGGCTTGTGGAGTTACTTTATACTATTTAGTTCATAAAAGATATCCATTTATGGGAAGGACCAATTAAGAGATGAAAAATGCTATAAAGAGTGGAAAATTCTAATTTGATAAATAAATTAGTCCAGAATTATAATGTCTTTTAGGTAAAATGTTATAGGTTAATCCTAATAAAAGAATTACTGCTTAATAAGCATTATAAGAGGATTGGTTTATTAAACATAAATTTATAAATTAAATCAATCAATAATTGATATTTAAATTAATAAATTATCATTCCACAACTTTATTTGAAGAATTGATATTCTCAATAATTACTTATTATTTTTAAAATTGTGATGATCATGGATCAGCCATTTAAACTTTTTTATTTTTAGATACTGATTAAGATGGTTAGATTTCTAGATAGGAATTCAAGAAATAATTATTTTAATTGAATATTTATAATATAGATTAGTAAATAGATGATTTATATATAACACTTAATAAATAATCAGATGATACTCTGACTTATAAGGGTATTGTGTTATTTTATTAGATATAGAATTTTTAGCAGCATCAGTAGCAAGAGATAAAATTTAAACAAAGAAATGTTAGAAATTTTGTTTTTAATTGATTGATCATGATCAAGATGGTAAGATATCAGAATCTGATTTTTGTCATTTAATGGGTAAAAACCATTCTAATCTTTGGCATCTTTTAAATCCTTCTGATAGTTTATATATAACAGAAGAGGAATTTTATAGTATGTTTAAATCATGATTATTACTTTTATATATATATAACTATTTTAGTTTTAGTTATATTCTACTATTGCCATAAATAATTAAATTTTTTATTTATGTTTAAACCTAATTTCTCAAGTTAATCAAAATCACTCCCTTAAGATGACTTTGAAAAATATATCAAGACAACATTATAGGAAAATTATTACATGACTTGTTTAGATACATGTTTTAATGATTATTCTACACCAATTTGTATGAAAATATATTTTTATTTTATAATAGCAGGACAAGAAAAAGTTTGTTTGGCTAAATGTCTTGATAGAGCATATGATTCATTAAGACTTGTACAAAAGATCATTGATCCTTTTGATAATCTAAAATAGAAGAAGTTTTACTATAAATTAGACGGATAGAATGTATTTGGTTTGAAGAAGGATTAAATGTTGTGATTTATTAATTAATAATGAAAATATTGTTACTCTTTGCATTTTTTATATTTGTTAAAGCTGAATGCTGTAAGTATGATGTTATTACATTATAGACTATTATCAATATGGAATTTAACGGTATTGTGATGAATGTTGTTATTGGTATGATGGTGATTGGTATTGTGAAACCTATTAATATTGTTACACTTATATTGCTATAACACTTTCAATATGGATTGCTATATGTTTAATCTACATAAGTCTTTATTTTTATTTTCGAAATAAAACTATGCAAAGAATAGCATTGATCCATAATAGAGCAGCTAATGCCTAAAGAGAAAATAGTGTTATTAATTCTTAAAAAAGAAATGAAATATCAAATAAAAATATTGAAGTAGCTATGATGGATGTTCAAATATCGAATGATTAATTATGAAACAATATTTTTTATATTTAATGTTGTTGCTATTTATTTTCATTGTGCCTCTCTTAAGTTAAACATGTTTCAGTAATAAAGCAGCTGTAGATTGTACATATTTGAAATGTTGTTCTCAATAAGGATACTGTGCTGTAAATGAGAGTGAATGTTATTATAGTGCTGAGAAATGTATAAATAAATAAGATTACAATTAGATTCATGTGATTATGCTGAATGTGATTATTGTTGTATTTATAATGGAGATACTGTTGAATGTGGTACTCAGAATTAATGTTTAGCTTGGATATTCATATTGTTAGGTTCTTGGTTATTAATGACATTAATTGTAATATTTGCAGCTATTAATCGTAAAAGAAATGTAGCTACTCGTATGATTGTTATTGCTGAAAAAGCTAAATTAGTTGCATTAGATAATTCAAGAAAATCTATTGTTTCATAAATAATTGGAACAGAAGAATAATAATATGGGAAAGAATTTTAAGTTAATATAGATAATTATAATTTGTAATTATGATTTTGGTTTTGTTTTTCATTCATAAAAATTAGAATTCTATTTTTGTTATTGTAAAATCTTCTCTTTACATTATTACATCTTCTAAAATAATTCATGTTTTGAAGGATTAACTTTACTTTCTTATACTTTTTCTTATAATGCTTCAACTACAATTCTTGATGAAATCTTTTCATCTGTTTATAATAGATCTAATGTTTTTCTTAATGAACTCAAATCTGAAGATGTTCTAACTGATTTAATTTATTCAGGAGATTTTGATTTTTAAACAGAATTCTAATTATTATTTTAATTAGTATTCTAATTCTAAATTTATAAGGATTATTTTAACTATTCTTATGGTGATTTCTTTTATTAAACTTATTATGCAATTGGTTAAACATTTATCTAATGTTTAACTTATTCTTATTTTTTTGCTGAAACATTTAATTCTTTTAAAATTTCTAAATTTTCCCTATTTTATTATGATGGTAAATCATCACACTTTTCAATAATAGTGTAATTAAGATTCAAAGTCTAATCCATTATTTAAGTTTAATTAAGTTATGATTTATTACATCTATTTTGAGTTTCAATTTCTATAAATTGGCTCACATCCAATAATTATTATTGTAATTTAGATTAACGTTCATCAGTCAATTACTAATTTTCTATAGATTACAATATCTTAACAAATATCAATTTAATTATTTTAGATGTTGTTGTAACTAAGATATAAGACATTTGATATCTTATTTCTGTTAGGACCTTTTCAATTTAAATGTTCTATAGATAGACTGCACAATAATTCAAATGTTGGAATTTTAAAAATGTGAATGTCATCTATATAATCAAGCATATCCATGATATAGAATCGAAGAAGTAAAACAAATCAAATATTTATTAAATGAATAACAAGGCAAACCTAAAATAATTAATTTGAATTACCATTAGAAAATAAGGACTTCTGTATTTTATGGATGGATGATTTTTATTACAGTCTTAGCTGTTAGGAACACATATAGTAGGATTTATACATTGTTCATAATTAATGTTAAGAAATTATTACAAATTAGAATATTATTATATTTTATTTATATTGCACATATAAATGAATCTAAATACATTTCAAAACTGTTTAATATATATATATATATATAATATATGAAGGAATAATAATAATGCTAATTACTTTGTAATTGATTAGAATTTTTAATTATAACAGTTAATTTAAAAAATCAATGAAGTCGAACAACGAAAACAATTATGTACGAGTATCATACAATAACTTTGTAACAACACGTAATCGATAATTTGGTAATGAAATCACTAACATACAACGAATACCAACTAGATCTACATCATAATTCATTTGTTCCAAACCTATATTAAAAATTGAAGAAGAAACACCTCTTCCTATTCCTGAATTTGTTAATCCATATGTTGCTGATATCTTTGAATATCTACGTATCAATCAAAATAAATTCATGTGTTAAACTCCATTTTATATGAACTTACAATTAGACATTACTAATTAAATGCGTTCAATTCTAATAGATTGGTTAGTTGATGTGCATCTTAAATTTAAATTATAATCAGAAACACTCTATATGACTATTAATTTAATTGATAGATACCTTGCAAAAAATACTATTATGCGAAATAAATTGTAATTAGTTGGAATTGCTTCCCTCTTCATAGCATCAAAATATGAAGAAATTTATGCTCCTGAACTTAAAGATTTTGTTTGTGTTTGTGACAATGCATATACAAAAGAAGAAATACTTGGTATATATCATTATTTATTATTATTACTATAGAAATGGAAAGCAAAATATTACTAACAATCTAATTTCATTTGACATCCACTTCACCACTCAAATTCCTTGAAAGACAAATATCAGGAGCCAATCTATGTGATAAAATCAATTTTGCTTCCAGAATGATTCTAGAATTATCTCTCCTAGATATCAGATGTCTAAAGTATTAATTAATTATATATAAAGATTTTCATCATCCCTATTAGCTACCACTGCCATTCTTTTAGCCATTAATCTACTTAGATCACCATAAGTATTACCCTCTTCACTTCATTATGTCGATAATCAAGAAGATCTAAGACAATGTTTATAAGAATTCCTTCCAGTCATCAAATTATTATCAAGCAGTAATATGACTGCAATCAAAAGAAAGTATTCTCTTGATAAATTCAATAAAATTGCTGAACATGTTATGACAATCTTAAATAATTAAAAATGAACTATAATCAATTAATATATAATTGTTTATAAAAATTATTTTGAAGTCAAAATTAAATTTAATTTTAACTAACTTTTTTATAATTATAAATTATCTCAAACTAACACTCTATTTTCATTTATCTTATGCATATACAATATAAAATTAGGTTCTTTAAGTTTAACTATAATTTAAATTAATAAATATATAGATAAATGATATATATTCCAATTTTACTTTATAATTAAACAAACTATCATATAATTCTTATTTTTATCACTTTATTGAATAGTTTAATTTACATAAAAGAATATTATTTATTTTTTAAATTGTAATTTCATGTTATAAATTAATTAATATGTATAATTAATTAAATTCTATAATATTAATTATTTTACAATAATATAAGATTATCTATATATTTAATGTTAATTATTTATATAAATTCATTTGAAACAATAAATTAAATAGGAATTTTCAAAATGCCATTATTATAATAATTTTTATAATTTTTTATATATATTTTGATATTAATTTTAATTGGGTTTTGTATTTTAAATTTTACAGGAATAGTAATAGAATATGAATCATTCAACTTATTTATTTCTAATAGTACTATATTACTACTCTCTTGTCAATTATTATTTAGTATAACATAGATTTTTATAATAATCTATGTTATTATATATTACTATGATAGTATTGATCATTCATAATAAAATCATCTATCATATTATTTTATTTTATTTTATTTATAAATTATATTCTAATAGAAAGGGAAGGAATCTTTTAAAAATTAACAATAATATTAAAGATTATTCAATTTGATATTTTAATATTAATTAATATATTCCACTTTTTATAAGATTATTCATTTTTTCCAATTTTCATTTATATTAAATCAATTTCATTTAAATATTTGATTGCTATTTGTACTTAATTCAATTTATCTAAATTTTAATGTAAAATAAACAAAATAGTCTTTAAATTAACATCGTTATTAAAAAGAGAAATAGATTAATTTTATTGAATTTTCAACAATTAATGATATTTAAGTATGTTGAATAAAGAATAACATAATATTTATTTTTACTATTAGATAATTTGTGTAAGTTATTTAATATAGTCTGAGTTTGAATTTAGTTTTAGTAAGTCAAAATATTTGAATTCCTATAGTTTATTAAAATTGACAAATTTTTAATGAGATAAGGGAAATATTTAATAGAAAGTTCTTGTAGTTCTAAATTTGGAATATTAAAAGAATAAAGATAGTTTTATAATATATTAATTACTATCGTTAATGAAACAATACTGGCATTTTCATATAAAATACTTGAAATTTTAATGAATGAATATAGATTCAATTCTCTTTAGATATCAATTTTAATGAATATTTTAAACTATAACAAACTAGAGAATACTCTAATTAGTATCTATAACATTGAAATTTAAAATCAAAATAAAACTTTTCTCATTGAAGTCTGTTGTTTTTTTCAAACTTATTTCTAAGGTAATCATTCCATAAGTATAGTAAATCGGTAAAATCAGAAGCATGTTAGTTAAATTTCTTAATCATTAAATTATTTTCTTTTTTCTCAGTATTTTCTTATTTTTTATTTTTGAAATCTAAGTATGATGGAGATTTTTCAGGAGTATGTTTAGATTTAAGGTCTTCTTCTAGATTATCAACATCACCAATTATTATTAAGGGAGATAATGAATTTTAATGAAACTACTGCATATTTAATTAATATATAAAATGGAAAGAATTAAAGAAACTTTTATAAAGTCTTTTTTTTATATATTAATTCCATTTTTAACAAATTCGCTATTTTCTAAATTGCACATTATTTTTAACATTTAATATCTTTGGATATTTTATATAATTAAGCTAATCATGAATTATTTTAAAAAGACAAAGCTATATAAATATCATATTCTCAGTATTCATAACTATTTAGACTCAAATTTTTTCACTAAGTAGCCATTCCACATATATAATTACTCAGTGAAGTCTTAAGATCGAAACTTTTTTCTTCTTACTGTATTATCCCCATCAGAATTCTTTCTTCCTGATTAGATAAATGTATTATTTTAAGAAGATTGACTAGATAATTCAAAGTCATCTATAAGATTAATAGGACTAGTGTCCCCTTCAATAATTAGATGTTTTAAAGGACTCTGTGTTAAGTTTTACATGTTTAATTTTTATTAATAAAATGTATATGTACTCCAATCCCATTTTTGAATAACAAAATCATACAGAATTATACATAATTGAATCTTAATAGAAAGGTATTTTTAAGTGTAAATAGAAAATTAGAATATTTTTGAGATTGGATGATAATCATTTATAATACCAAATATATGATATTGTTACAAACACCTAATTTGTTCTAAATTTAATGAAAAATATTCATTAAATATTTATATAATTCAAATTCTGTCTCACAGATTAAGCGATTTAATTGAATGAAGTTCTATTAAATTAATAGTAAACAATTAATATCAATAAGGAATTAATCTGAAAATATATCAAAAAGAATGATCAGACATATATAATACATATTATAATACAATAGTATCAAATATAAATGATTAATATGGCAACCCTTAAATATTAAAATTAACTTATACAATTATTTATATTGTAATAAAATATTATATATTAATTAGAATGATTTTATAAAATAGTAATTTTTTTATTAATAATAATTACTAAATTTTAGATTTTTATTTGAAATAGATTTATTATATAAAGGATGATTATGTTATCTTGTTAAATT